ACTGGGACAACACCAAAATCCTGGGACAAGCTAAGCAGAGACAGGCACAGGAATTCCTAGAAGCCTGGCACTCCACAAAGCATGCTATTAATAAACACATTGAACTCGACCCCATATACACTCCACTACGAAGGAAAACCGGAAGTGAGGCAATCCAGCTCAATGGGCACCAGAGTTTTAAAAACCAGGCGGGAAAACACACCGACGCTTCATCGGAGGCTGCACTGAGGATGTTACCAAGCACGGTAACAAAACGTCTGCGGAACAACAAACCAGCTCGGCGAGCCAACCAACATTAACTTTATGCTAATAAATGCAAAAGCATCCTATATGCCTTCAGAACCATTTTAACTACCTGTCCTGCTATCTTAAGGGACTGGTGGTCATGTACATGAAGGTCCCTCTTATTCATGGTGCTTTCCATGGTCCTACCATTCATTATGTATTCCCTTGCCTTGTTTGTCTGGCCCAAATCCTTCACCACACATTTAATGAGACCAAATTCCATTTGCACGATCAACACTATGGAGAGATGGGTGTCATCATTGACCGGAAACCTAACTGGTCCGAGCATATTCATACGTTGCTACAAGAGCGGGTCAGACATTGTCTGCAGAGAGGGATACACCTTCCAACTCCCCAAACCCTGTTCATCATCTGCACGTTAAAAGTTAGAAGTGTGATGGAATACATTGCAGTTTCCTTGATGAGTGCAGTTCCAGTAACATTCAAGCAGCTCAACACCATTCAAGACAAAGCAGCCTGCGTGATCAGTACCTCACCCAGCATTTTAAACATCCAGTCCCTGCACCACCAGAACATGATCATTTAGTATGCACTGTATGCAAAATGAGCTGCAGCAATTCATCAAGGCTTTTTGGTCAGCACCTTCCAAAGACACAACTCTACCAGCTAAAAGGACAAGACAGGACAGCACATGATTGGGAATACTATCATCTTCAAATTCAACACACCCTGGCTTGGAAATATATTGCTGCCCCTTCATCATCGCTGGCTCAAAATCTTGGATCTGTGCCGATGCATCTCCACAACATGAACTGCAGTGCAAGGGTAAGACTCAATTACACTTTCAGACGGACAATTAGAAAATGGGAATAAATGTTGGCACTGCCAGTGGTTCTCATATCCCATGAATGAAAAAAAAGAAAATCCATAACGTTGTTGCACTGTAATCAAAATAATGCAATGTACTTAGTAGTTGGGGTTTATTTCACTGAATACAACAAAAAAAAACAGCATTTCTATAAATAACTCCTGTATCTTTTTCACAGAATCCCTACAGTGTGGGAGCAGGCCCTTCAGACCATTAAGTCCGCACCAACCCTCCGAAGAGTCCCCCATCCAGCCCCTTGCCCCTACCCTATCCCCGTAACACTCCATATCCCATGGCAAATCCACCTGACCTACACATCCCTGGACACTACGGGCAATTTAGCGTGGCCAATCCACCTAACCTGCACATCTTTGGACTGTGGGAGGAAACCAGAGCACAGCGAGGGAACCCACGTAGACACGGGGAGAATGTGCAAACTCCACACAGACAGATGCTGCCCCTGTGGCATTATTTCAGTCAATGTTCTTCCAAGACATCCCTGATTCCTGGAAACATTTTGTTGCTTTTCCCATTCTCCCCTCCTCATCACATGCTTAATTTGCATTAAATTTCTAACTTTTCCCAGACCTGGTGAAAGCTTATCAAGCTGGAACATTGGGCAGGATTTTCCCATAGGGTTCGAAAACAAAAGGGAGTCCCAAGGTTTTTTCTGTCTTTCTGGAAGGATTATATCATGGAACAGCTGCAGTGCAACAGCAGGGTTTCCAGTTAGAGCCCTGACTATTTAAGTTGTCTACAAAAACTGAAAATGCTGGAGAAACTCAGCAGGACTAGCAGCATCTGTGGAGAGAGAAACGGCGATAACATTTTGAATCAATATGACTATGTTCTGAACATATCAGACTAGAAATGTTAACTCTCTCTCTCTCCATTGATGCTGCCAGACTGGCTGTGTTTCTCCAGTATTCTGTGTTTTTTTCAGTTTTCCAGGATTTGCAGTATTTCACTTTTATTTCAATTGCCTGCCTGCTCCTGGTGATGTGATGCAGTGGGGAGCTGTGCTGTCACAATTCCCCTATTTTCCCATCCTCTGCTCCAGCTCCATTCCTGTCACCATAGGGTCAGGAAAATTCAGTGCACTGTAAAATTTTGCTGGCACCAAATCTCCTTTTTAACTCATCATTGTATTTAAAACTCACGGAAGCTCAACTGACGTTTAACATATTTAGAATGTAATTTGATTTTGCAACAAAGTTAAGCTGTGTATTGCTTTACTCCAGATGGAAAGTATTCAGTCACCTGCTAGAAGTATATTACAGCCAATGTGTTTTGACTTGCATTCTGTAGATTCAAATGAATCACAGATGCTACTTAAAAGGTAGGTTTTCCATTTGGCAATATGATACTTAACAAGATTGATTAATTATCTGATTAATTCCCACTTTGGCAAATTTCAGCTGGGCAGGAAAAGTGTTTATGTTAAGATTGCTAAATTAAACATTATATTCTATGTATGTAATCATATTTTAATATGCTATATAGATGCAACCTGTTGTCAGGAGATGCAACAAAGCAATCATTGATTATAATAAATGTTGATTCATTACTTTCATCTTATCAGTATCATCTTACAACATAAAATTCATAAAATTTAGATGCAAAAGTGCAGGCTACAGAATCATATATATTTTATTCCGTTGCTTGACCATACCGAACTTGTTTTTATTATTGCGAATAAGAGGGACATGTTGCCCAATGCTACTAGTTTAGGATCTGG